ATATATATATATATACACATACACACACATATACATACATACATACAGTATATATAGATATATATTATTATTTTTTACAGTGTGGCAAATAATTATTTGATCCCCTGCAGAATTTGTACGTTTGCCCACTTACAAAGAAATTAAAAGGTCTATAATTTTTATCATAGGTGTATTTTAAATGAAAGAAACAGAATATCAACCAAGAATCCAGAAAAAAAAAACACATGATACAAGTGTTATACGTTGAGTTGCAGTTTAGTGAGTAAAATAAGTATTTGATCCCCAAGCAAAACATGACTTAGTACTTGGTGGAGAAACCTTTGTTGGCAAGCACAGAGGTAAGACGTTTCTTATAGTTGGTTACCAGGTTTGCACACATCTCAGGAGGGATTTTGGTCCACACTTCTTTACAGATCTTCTCTAAATCCTTAAGGTTTCTTGGCTGCCGCTTGGCAACTCGAAGTTTCAGCTCCCTCCATACATTTTCTATAGGATTAAGGTCTGGAAAATGGCTTGGCTGTATGTTTTGGGTCATTGTCATGAACCCTTTGACAGCTCTTTGGTCTTGGCCATGGTGGTGAGGTTTGAATGGAAGAAAGATTCTGTGGACAGGTGTCTTTTATATACATAACAAGTTGTCGGTAGGAGCACCTTCTTAAATTGACAGGACTAATCTGTGTACCACATAGCCAGTCTGTGGGAGGAGCCAGAATTATTGTTGGTTGGTAGGGGATCAAATACTTATTTTACTCACTCAACTGCAACTCAATTTATAACATTTGTATCATGTGTGTTTTCTGGATTTTCGGTTGATATTCTGTATCTATCATTTAAAATACCCCTATGATAAAAATTATAAACCTTTAATTTCTTTGTAAGTGGGCAAACTTACAAATCTGCAGGGGATCAAATAACTAATTTTCCTCACTGTGTGTCCATAACTTTATGACTACTGAAAGGAAGTGAATAACATTTTTTTCTCATTACAACGCAGCTGGCAAGGGGTGGGATATATGAGGCAGGAGGTTAACATTTTGTCCCTGAAGTTGGTGTATTGGAAGCAGAAAAATTTTACAAGCGTAAGGATTCGAACGGGTTTGACAAGGGCAAAATTGTGAAGGCTAGACGACTGGGTCAGAGCAACTCCAAAACTGCAGCTTTTGTGAGATGTTCCAGATCTGCAGTGGTCAGGACCTACCAAAATTGGTCCAAGGAAGAAAAAGCTGGCAACAGGGTTATGGTAAGGCCAAGGCTCAGTGATACACATGGGGAGCGAAGGCTGGCCGATGTATTCCGATCCAATAGAAGAGCTACTGAAACTCAAATTGCAGAAACAGTTAATGCTGGTTTTGATAGAAAGGCGTGTGAACACACAGTGCATTGCAGTTTGTTGCATATGGGGCTGTGTAGCCACAGACCAATCAGGGTGCCCATGCTGACTCTAGTCCACCACCAAAAGCGCCGACAATGGGCGCTTGAGCATCAGAAGTGGACCACAGAGCAATGAAAGAAGGTGGCCTGGTCTGATGAATTATGTTTTCATTTACGTCATGTGGATGGCTGGTGAAGAGACGGCACCAGGATGGAGTATGGGAAGAAGGCATGCTTGCGGATGCAATGTGATGCTTTGGGCAATATTCTGCTGGAAAACCTTGGGTTCTGCCATTCATGTGGATGTTACTTTGACACAAACCACCTGCTTAAAGCATTGTTGCTGACCAAGTACACCCCTTCATAGAAACTGTTTTCCCTGATGGCAGTGGCCTCTTTCAACTGGATAAGGTTTAATCTTGCTGGGAAGAACACTTGACCAACATGCTTTACTTATTATCTTGTCTACAAATTGTGCTCTATGACATCAATACTATATCCAAGCGGGTTGTTCTTTTATTGAATGGTTTATTAACAGAAAGTCTCACACATGTAGTACCCCTATACACAGGAGGAGTTGAGAAATATCTTGACCACTTGACATCAAAGTGGTTAAAACAACCCCATGGCTGCAGTAGCAGTTGCTAGTGGTGTTATGGTTTTGTTTAGCCGCCACCCAGCTATCCAGTAAGTGATCTGGGCAGCTGTAGAGCTTCCCAATTATTTTTACAGGGCTATAAAGGAGCCGCCTTCCCCTGCATGGTTCCCAGGCTCTCTTGCTCCTCCAGGAACCATAGGACCACGGTAAATGATGCGCTTGATTGCCTGGAGAAGAGGGCAGGAGACGCCTGATGTCTCAATGAACAGAAGCCGTCCCCTTTACTAAACATTCCGTTCAGGAGCATACGTAATGCACGGAAGTTATTTATCATGTGAAATGTCCCACGATTCCCAGGGCGCATCTTTGCTCCTAACTGCGTAACCATTAATACAGGAACAGGACAGCACAGGGGGAAAGTTGATGTCAATGGAGGCACTACTGGGGAAACATCTTGGTGCTCTAAAAATAGACAAAGCCCTGGCTGAAAGCAAACATGACAAGGTTACAATGCCGAGCATACACACACAAAGATGGCAGGAAACAAATACATTGAGAGGTATACAAGTACATATACTTTTATCGTTTGGGGGTATACAAACACTTTACCCAACAGCAAACCTACATAAAAAACACTACACATATTTTGCCGCTTCCTGAAGACACAAGAAGATTTACACATTATAAAATTACTTTATCATTGCATACAATGTTTAATAGAAACTAAACTTACCTCTGTCTTTCCTTGGTTTCTGTAGAAAAGAAATGAAAATAATACATTACTGGGGAAAATACGTAAATAAATGTAACGAACAAGATATTAGGAAGACCATGCAAAAACATGAAAAGCCATCACAGAAGAATAACAAGTGTAAACACTGAAAAAAGAGGGAGACTAAGAACATAAAGCGTTCACCCAAAGGCTACATGAAGGAGTACGGATGAGAGACCGGACATTTATATCAACACACTGTAAAGGAAGTAGCATGGCAGTCATTTACACTAACACTGCTTTACTCCGCCTTCAGCACGAGAAAAATAAAAAATACATGTCTTCTGTGTAGGAGACTATAGGACCGGAAAGATAACAGTAGAAGCTCAATTTTGGGTAACAGTTGGTATGGCTTTGACTGGAACGCTCCACACACTAGACTGCAGATCTAATGCCTTATCTTGGAAAGCAGTGAAACCAGCTAAATAACATTTCAAATTTCAATTGTTTATGCCTATTAAATTATTTTTAAAAACACATTCATTCTTCAACAGAAAAGCAACTTTCAATGGAGAATGCCCTTTTCCTGCCTTTTCTTTAACTGTGCTTTAATACACTTTATGGACACCTGAACATCACACCTATATGAGTTTGGTGGACATCATATATAAAGCCATGGGCATTAAAGTGTAAATGCCCCTTTGGAGCAGTTATATTTATACAGAAGCTTCCTCCAGTGCGATGGTAACGTTTCCTCAAACTTTTGGCTGTGTAGTGCAGCCATCAACACAAGCCCAAACCAGTGTACCACTTTGATCATTTACATTTACTCTGTCTGCATTTCAGTTATTGGTATTGCAGCAATATATAAATAAATATTATTCAACAGTCATAGCAAATATTAAGTCACTTGCTAAAAAATCAGTCTGTAAAAACTGAAAGATGTGTCAATTGAAAAGCACTTTATTAGCAGAGTACCATGTATTGCATATGGAGACAAAGTGCGTTTCTACGTCTGCAGCCCAATCAGGATAACACATTTTATATTTGTTACATGTTCCCATTTGCATAGCATAAGCTAAAAATTATTTTAATAATGGCTGTTTAAATGCAGTGCTTTGACCTGGCGTAGGGGTTTCTTGGCTTCTTAAGGGTTACAATTTCTGTGCATTTCTCCTTTGTAATGTTAAGAGGGGCTGTGAGGGGGGTAAGAGGATTACAACCCTGGCTTTTCCATTGTTCAGTAATGAGAGGAACACAATACTCAAATTTCAATACAAAGTCTTTCTTAAGAGGTGAAGATGCTCAGAAAAACCTGGAATCAGCCATGTTGCCTGCTACAACAAAACATCTAAAAAAGGTAAGAATTTTTTTTAAATAATTTTTCGGTAGGTTGTGTAAACGGGAACACAAATGTATAGAGGGGTTTTTTCTCAAATTGACATTTTAAGGGACATATGCATCCCCATCCCCAACACATATTGCAAACTATTTGGAAGGGCAAAATTAATTATTCAAAGTGTTGTGCTGACAGTAAAAAGAAAATGTTAAAGAGACCCTCTGGTCACACTTTATTTCAACAAAAATAAAGGACGGCAAAGCCGGACGAGGAGCTTTACATTCAAGTGATCTCTAGAGACGCCCAATCACTTGTATTAGCAGCCGCTGTCAGTGCCGTTCCCGAGATCCGCTGTGCCCGGTGCGGCTGGGACCGGCACGGCTGCTCTGTGACAGGAGATCAAAGGGAGATCGGTTCATCAGCTTCTCTTGGAGACCTCTGATGTCTCCATAAAGAGGACCTGTCATTCTTAGCCCCCTATGTGATAGCAATAAAGATAAGCGTCTTTAAAAAAAATTCAAAAAATTAAAGATGCATAAAAAAACTCTTTTTTTTGTACGTCCCCCGCTCCCCACATACACACGCAAACATGCGTCGGGTGCACCTACGTGCGAAAACGACCATCGCGCCTATTGTGCCGCACATGTTACATATTGCTGCTAATGTCGGAGTGAGAGCAATACTTTTAGGGCCATCAATCACTGATGAGCAGTAAAAGCGTTTAAAGCGTCCCCTATGGTCAATTTTCGGTGTGGTCGTTTTTTGCCATTTTCTGGGCGCGCACAATTTTAAGACTTGACATGTTTGGTGTCTATTTACCCGACGTGACCCCGTCTTTTATGTTTTACCAAAAATATGGGTAAGAATAAATGTTAACATAACGTATGGAACATTTTTTTTTCTCTACATTTACGGTACTTTTTGCATGGTGTGGTGATTATATATCTCCAAAAGAAAGTTCTATCTGTCCCTATAAAATTTTAACTTAAATTGCAAGGCTATAGTCCGGTCATGCTGACTGGTGACATTTTTGACTGGTGAGACACCCTAAAATTTTTCAAGCCTTGTGGATGTATTCCCTGCACTCCTTACAGCGATTGGATCTGAACAAGCGTGGTGCTCGCAGTGATAGTTGCGGATGACGCCGTGTGTATCAAACTTGTAGAAGATAAAGATCACCAGCATTCAAGTAGTCACATTTAATCCTTGTGCTCCAATAAATAAGCACAAGGATAAAATGCTACTACTTGAGTTCTGGTGATTATCATCTTCATCTTCTAAGTAAAAAGTGGCATCCCACAGAACCAGATGTAAACTGTAAGGGGTCCTTAAACCGCACCTTGAAGTAAAAGGAGAGGTCTGCTCATTAGTTTTGGGGCCCCTCCTTCTGTAAAAATGCCTGCTTAATAGTACTTTAAAAAATGACCCAAGAAAAAAAAAAAAAAAGTTATATACTTAATGATAAGTACTACAAAATTTGCAAGAGAATATTTCTGTCCAGTGCAAGCGTATCTTTTTGCAAGATTCGGGCTGCTCTGCATTCCCCCGGGTTCCACCAGAAGGAGTGTAAGAAAGGGCTTTTAGCTTTTTATAGCATACTATTCAAATAGAAGATGTGCAGACTTAAATATAAAAGGCTACACCAATGCTGCAAAACAGCCTGCTTACAATACCCCAAACAGCACATAGAGAAGCCTTAAAACTTCTGAAACAAATTCAATTGGAGTGAGCAGATCAAAATTAGACTTTATGGTCAAAAACCATAAATGTTATGTTTGGAGAGGAGTCAACAAGGCCTTCTAGCCTCAAAGGACTGTATCCCTAACATAAGGTATGGCGGTGGATCTTGGGAAGTTTTCCAGTTTCCTAGAGGATGATGATTAGGAGGATAATGACCACAACAACTTGAAAGGGGACAGGGAACAAGAATAGAAAGGGGGTGGAAGAAGAAGAAAAAAAAAAGGAGAGGAAACTGAAGGGTTGAGAAAATTGCAAATAACTCTTCTTATAATTTTACAACCAGAAAAGTTTCAGTGTAGCTAGGCTTTGCCCAGCCACACATCCACCCAACCCAAATGCTTGCGGTCAGTTACGTAAAAGTAGACTGAATATCTAGAGGGATCCTTGATGCCCATTTTTTCGGGATGGGGGGGGATTTATTTTCATTTTTATAACGTAACAGAACATGTACAAATAACAGGCATTTGTGCATACAGGCTGTCATCTCTGAACCTGATGAAGGGGACCCTACATGGCCCCGAGAACGCTTGAAAATGAGACGGCATTCCTCAATAAATGAACACTTATTTGGTGTGCTGGTGACATTCTTCAACTATGTATTTTAAAAGAGCTGTTATACGTTAGGCCAAACCGGGACATTATTTATAACCAAAAACTGGCTTAGACCAACAATAACAACTTTAAGGAAGAAATAACAGTGTCTTGTAAACATGTGTTAAAAGGAGAAATGTTTTAATCCTACAATTACAGATTTTCTCCAAATAAACTGGTGACCTAATCATTTAAACCTCAGAGATAGTTAAAGTAAGAAAATATAGAAATGTTCACTCAAAAAGTACATAATAGCAACACAAAATATCCACTTCAACCATATAGTCAAGGCTTGACGTCAGCAGTAAATGTCAACTGAGGGGAAAAAGGCTTACTTGACAATTCTAAGCTTTCCCACTTCACCCCTTCCTGTGGCCTTTCCCCACTGCTGTGCCAAGTATTTCGGAAGCTGAAGAGAAAAAAAAAAAAAACACATTCATTTAACAGCTTTACAAAAACAAAATACGACACCCACTTACCCCTGAAAACTTTTCTGCAATACTTACTTCTATGTAAACAAAAAATGATGACAGTGTTTAGAAATGCAGATAACCCAAGTGTTTGTTCTTTCAAAATGTAAATGTCGAAAAATGCTATATTTAGTCAGCGCCTTGTTCAGCTGATAGATGTCTGTTCTATTTGAATTTCAAAAGAAACATTTGTGGAATAAATGGGAAAAGCATCAAAGCATCTCAGTGTTTATCTGCTCAGTGCCAATCTCCAATCATATATCTGCAAAGGGTAAACCGGACGCCAGCAGAACATTTCGGCACTTGACACCACCAAAGCAATATCATATAGTCGTCAACTCCTTCGTTTAATAAAATTGTTGGTTACTTAAACTGCATTTTATTAAACAAATGTTCATCATTATATAAAGACAATACAGTATTTTACATGCATGTCCATTGAGCAAAGCAAACATATGCAGGTTTCCTTATAACACAAAAAGGTTCCCTTTTGAAGACTTCCATTTTACATACAAAGTTAAATCAGCATATACCTTAGTTTTTTGGGGTTTTATGAGGCATCAGACTCCAAATAATTAACAGTTTATTACTACGATTAGTTAAAATACATATACAACATTAAAAACAGTGTTTGCATACATGATTTGCCTAATTTCTACCTCCTGCTGTCACATATACAATATACATATAGTGTTCATTTGCATCCATAATACTTATTTTTTTTGTTTTGGTATAGTGCAGTCCATTTTTGTGGATATATTCTTCTGTTCTTTCTCCACTGTGGCTGGCATTCGTTGTCCCCGACACATTTTGCTGTTGTGCTTCCTCAGAGAACAGGAGGCAATTATCCATTACAAACATATGATCAATTTTTTGCATTGTCATTTATCAATTGTAGTACATTCGCATCTGTATTACCATGTGTACATCTATATGGCAATCATGAGGTCTACTTTGCTCTTGCCTACTAGAATGTATAGGGACAAATATGGATCAGTTTCGGGAAGTGGAGGTCTACAGGTCTCCCCTCTCCCAAAGGATGCGGTGGGACCACAGGATAAAAGGCTCACTTTTATACTATTTTCTTTTTCCTCAAATATTTCTCACTATATCCATTACGTTTTGTGGTGATCTCTACCATCAGCGATTGTCAATCCATATCTATCCGTATTCCAACTCTGTCAAAAGACAAATGTTTGTGCTACTCACCACATAATATGCCATTTTAACCTCTTACACCAATGTGCTTCCAACCTTCCCATTTTAAAGAAACCCATTGTACAATATATAATATGGAGAGATATGGATTGACAATCACTGATGGTAGTGATCCCCACAATACGTAAATGATATACTGAGAAATATTTGAGGAACAAGAAGAGAGTATAAAAGTGAATCTCCATCCTGTTTATCCCTGTGGTCCCACTACTATCCTTTGGGAGAGTAAAGACCAGTAGATCTGCACTTCCCGAAACAAATCCATACTTGTCTTTAAACATTCCAGTAGCATTCCAGTAGGCAAGAGCAAAGTAGACCTTATGATTGCCCTATAGACGTACACATGGTAATGGAGATGTTAATGTGCTACAATTGATAAATGACAATGCAATCTACTGTTTGCAATAGATAATTGCCTCCTGTTCCCTGAAGAAGTACAGAAGAATATATCCACAAAAATGGACTGCACTATATCAAAACAAAATAAGTATTATGGATGCAAATGAACACTATATGTATATTGTACACTGAGTGGCCAGATTATTATGACCACCCCATCAGTACTTCGTTGGGCCACGAGATGACTCCATGAGATGACCTCGTTGGGCCGCCTCGTGACTCCATGAGATGTTGAAAGGTGATGCGAGGAATCTGACACTGCACTGTTGCCCTTCTGTTGTCTTGTACCAGTCTTGCCACTCTCCGTTCTACCCTAACATTGACTAGTCGCTGACGGCCACAATTCGCACGTTCAGACACAGATTTTCGGCTGACAGTCCAGTCTTTAAACACTTTAACAATGAGCCCCTCTTGAACATTTAACAAATTCTGCTGTTTTGCTGATACTCGCTCCATGGCTCGCGCCAACAATCATCCCACGTTCAAAGGCTGTTAAATCGCGTTGTTTACACATATCTTCAGAAAAAAATCACTTCTACTGTCGTGGTAAACAACCTGCTTCCCTATTTATAATGGTCTGGCCCTCTAAGCAACTTCAGCGCGAAATTATAGCTTATTTGCCTACAAACGTCTGGTGGTCAAAATAAACTGGCCACTCAGTGTATATGTGGCAGCAGAAGGTAGAATTGAGGGGAATCATGTATGCAAAAACTGTTTTTAATGTTGTATATGGATCTTAAGTAATTGTAGTAATAAACAGTTTGTAAATTATTTGGAGTCTGATGGCTCATAAAACCCCAAAAATACTAAAGGTATATGGTGATTGAATTATGAGAAGTGGTGAGGTGTCAGAACACCTGGGGGAATTAGCCCTGTGGAGTTTTGGTTTAATACAATATACAAAGTTAAACCAATCCAGTCCTAAACATGTATTTTATCTAGTACCTAAATAGCACAATATCCATTTACAGAATAACCTATATCCAAACACAACTGACAGACAGCCCACACAGGTCCTTAATCTACACACCAGAGGCATCACACCTTGGTTAAAAACCCCTAATGACCGGACAACAAAAAAGCAGCAGCATAGTGAAGAGGTTGTCCCTTTGGCTCTACTCCTATCAGCACACATGACATACAACAGAGCCTGGCTGGGTCTTTCCCTCTCCTAGTCAAAGTCCCTTTTGTAGAGTACTAAAGGAGAACTATGAGGTGAGTGAAAATCACTTAATCCTCATAATTTGAGCCGACGTGCGACAATTAAACTGTCACACGTTGGCTCAATAGATCTGGATGTAAGCAAACACATACCATCGTTCGCTCACTTCTCGATCATCTCCCTGCAGAGAGCAGTGACTGTCAGTCATGGCTCCCTGCAGGGGATTCCCCTGCTCCCCACTCTGATCCTCCAGCGCTGACTAGAGGAACGGATGGGGGCGGGTACAGCTAGCTCCACCTCTAGATAGCCAGAGCCCGCTGTCACTCACGCAGCTGGGTGGATCTCGACAGTAATGTCGGGATCCGTCCCGGCTGCGACGGTCTCTGAATGACCACCACTAATAACGAAAGTTTAGGCACCAGGGGCCCGGCATCCAAGGCAGCATTACAAAGATGATTAAGATCCTGAACTATTTGATTTGCAAGCTCAACATAGGCTGGAGCGACATTCTCTCGGATCCAGAAAAGATGGATAATCCTGACCAGTTGGTGCAGGTGCCCACGTCTTAAGCGGCATCCTCAAAAGAATAGAAAACACTGAAGCACTAAGGAGCTGTAAAGGACTTAGTGGGACACTTCCACTCCTTGTAAAAGGAACTCAAAGAAAGAATGATGCGGAAAACTTTACGAAAGGTAACGGGGGTTCCCTGGAAAAATCCAGTACATCCTCCAACTTAAGAATCTCCCTCACTGACTTAATCAGCACAGAGACCAACTCTGTCTCCTTTCGAATCACGGACATGAAGGCTTCCTCATCACTACCAAAAAAAACCTGTTCAAGATCAGAAGTACCAGGCAGGTCAACCACCACTGAAGGTTTCTCCTCAAGGTTTAAACACTCCACGACAGAGCAGGAGAAGCAGATGCTTGATGCTTCCTGGCAGGACCGTGAGACAACGCAAGCTCAGTGTGCATCACAAAGCCATCCATAGCCAAAGAAACCACTTCAAGAAAAAGGGGTGCTAGCAGATACAGAAGAATCCAAAATAGAGCCAGACCCAGGGACGGGAGTAAGGGACATAACGGTAGGCGTGTCGGCGGGACCAGTCTGGTAACAGAAAAAACAGCCACCAAAAGACACACAAGCCCGCTACCAGATAGAGAAAGACCCCTTACGTAAAACAGAGCTTGCAGGACATCCTAACCACCAGCCACTACTAACCCAGGCTGCGCAGCAATGAGAGTGGTCCCAGAGAGACACTCACTGACCCAGAGCTGAGAAACATACATCCACTTGCCCACTGTCTGGGAGCCCCTAAGATGTGGAAAGCCAGCAGCTTGTCCCAAGAGGAAAGGGACACACCCCCACATATGACTGAACATCTTGTTGAGCGGCAGGAAGCGACACAAAATATCAACAGAAAGCCCAAAACAAAGATGGCAGCTGCGGCTCCTGGACAGGAATAGGCCACCGAGCCGCGGCTCAAACTTCCTTTTGCATGGGCAGAAACAACTTGTAGTAAAGGGCCGTATGCTCTTATCCAATGCGGCGGCTGTGGTTCCAAAGCCACAGCAGCCAGTACAACCATCTGCGCCACCCACCCCACTACGCCAGGGGCCAAGCATAGGTCACATCACCTTCCCAGAACATGGACAAGGCAAGCAAAGCACAAAAAGCAAGGTTGCGGCTCCCAACCCAGACTAGGCCGCAAAGTCGTGGCCACAAGCTAAAAAGTCTGGGACCTCCATGCCCCCAGTAGAAAAAGACACCCGGGCAGCCCCGCTCACACAGAACAGGTCACAGAACTAGTGCCCTTCACCTCCTGGGCCAGTAGCCATGGATAGGGCAAATCCTCCACATGTGCACACACCCAATGGCAGCCCCAACCCAAGCAGCAAAAAGCCCCCACAAACTGCATAATTACTGCACTGGTGGGGGAGAAAGGTCCCCTAGAGAGCTCCACAATGGGAGGACCACATCCAGGGAAAAACTGGAAACCTCTGGCCAGAACCACAGTGCCATTTGCCTGTAAAGGGACACTGGGACTAGTTGGTCAGGAACAGCCGGTCATACAGTATGTGTACCTGGAGAAACTCCTCACGGGACGTTCTGCCAAAATGCAGAGCCATCGCAGCCGAACCCGACAGCGAGGAACTGCATGTGCTCGCTGGCAGGACTGGGGAACACTACAAGGATCTATAGACATCCTGCTTGTCACCCAGCCTGCTGTTGATTGAAAAAAAAGAGAATTACAGCATGGACTCTAACAGCCTTACTCCTTGACGCTAGGTAAAAAACTGAGGCTGTGTTAGCACGTGGGGGTCACCCCTAGGTTGTCTTTTGTGCCTAGGGTCCTACTCCTGCAAGTGACAGTATAATCCAGTGGTACAAGAACTACTGATCTTTGCTGTGTTCTTCAATGAATGAAAGAGAAAAAAGTTTTGTCTGGAGCAGAGCTTATATTTAAGTGCTCCAGCTGCTTACAGTACGTGATGGCTCAGCCCTGTCCAAGATTCCACCATCCACAATACATACTACTAAAGATGAGCTGGGCTTGGGGCAAACCCAGTTTGCCTGAGTTCACCCAAGTCTACTCAAAATTCTGACTGCCACCCCCTCCTCCTAACCCAATCAGGGTCAGCAGTTGATGAGGGGGGCTTTCCCCGCCTTTCTGTGCCATGTAGCTGCAGGGTGGAGAATGCACCTCTCAGCAACAGATTGGGTCAGGAGGAAGTCAGGGTTTTGAGCAGGCTTGGGCGAACTTGGTTCATACCAAGCCCAGCCTCATCTTTACATACTACTTATTCAAGATCATGCTTAGCCTCCTCTATCATCTGTCCACTGTTTTCTTTTCTACCCCAATGAATGATGATTTCCTCCGTGCCCTGACTCTTTCACTTCTTCCTGTCCTGATTCTGGGGAAGATATACCTCCTGTGCTCATGCACATCATCAGTGACCACCCAATGGCCAAAGAGGATTTACAGAACATGAAAAAGGTTGCAGAAGTGCTTGGGAAGGGCACACTTGTAAGTAGGCTGTGCATACTTGCATGTCAGGACTAGAATCCACCTGCACATGCTCCCGCATCGCAGAGATGTAAACAAGAGCTTACGCACATCCTCAAAACCCGCGTCTTCAGACATCCCCGATTACCTTACGTTGATTGATTGTAACATCATCTGTTATATTTAACAGTAGGCTTGCTATTGAAAATGTTGTATATATCCACACTAACTATCCTTTCTTGTACATCACTACAGCATGCGGTGATGCTTTATGAAAAAATAATACAAACGTGTGTTAACAGTAGTTCTAATGCTGCTGGTGGTGGTGGTTGAACAGTAATCCCTTATACACATATACACACAAGAAGGAGAGCTGTAAAGGAAGAAGGGGAAGAGCAGATATCCCTCTAATAAAAGTATATAAGATCTCATTCTTTGTCACAACAATTAATCAGCGACGTCTGTGGCCTTCCTCACCTTCACCAGCCATACGCCGGTGTTCTGTTTGGCTCCATTCAGATCCAGCTCCCCCTTATCTGACGCCATATCGACACTTTTGTCTCCTCACAACACACACGTACACCGCTACTGTCGGACACAACACACACGGGGAAGACCAAGAGCCGGTGCACACTAGAGTACGGAGCACGGTGTGGGACACACTTCCGGGAGCGTTCATGCAGCCCTCTGCTGGATGTCAGTCATAGTGCTGCCAGCTCTCTAATCAGTTTAGGATTACTATAACTGGAGTGCTGATGCTCCCACTTAGTTAGCAGCCTACTAATAAAGAATCTGAAGATATAGGAATGTTTGGAACTTATTATTATATGTGTTTTTATAGCTGACTAACAATGTTTTATACACAGAGAATGTGCATGTGTGGCTATGCAATCAGGATGAATTATGCGCCTTACCAGAAGCATAACTAAACATTTCAGGGCCCCGATGCAAGAAACCATGAAGGCACCACCTGCCTCGGAGGTTACTTGTTCCGCTTCTTTCTTTCCGCCCCCCAAGTGGTGGAATGCCAGGGTCTGGTCGCACATGTGACTGCCGCAACCCTGGTAGTTCCGCCAGTGGTAGTGCAAGGTGTCTTTTATTTGACAAATTCATCTATAGCAGATATAACATCAGCTGAGAAGTGTTGGGCTACTACAGTTGAATTTGCCGCACACAAAGAGGCACCTTTCTTTACACCAATACCACCTTAAAACTTTTTCACATGTGTTTGGCACAAAAATAGCCTGTTTAAGGCCCCATTCACATCTGTTTTAGGCTGCAGCCACTGACCACTAATATATGGAGACATTCTTTCTTCTATCCATCACCAATTTAAGGAACATTTTTCCTTCCAATGGTCACAAATATAAGGAACATTCCCTGACCACCAATACATTTCTCCTCTCATTGACCACCAAAGAAAGGGGGCATTCTTACTCCCAATGACCACAAATGTATTTATATTCCCAATGAAAGGAGCATTTTGTCCTTCCACTAATTACCATATAATGTAACCAATACAATGATCAGTATAAGGTAACCAATATAATGACCACAAATTTAAGGAGCCTTCGTCCCACCGATTTCCTATGAAAGGAGCATTTTGTCTTCCCACTAATTACCAATATAAGGTAACCAATAGAATGATCAATATAGGGTAACCAATATATTGACCACTAATTTAAGGAGCATTCGTCCCACTAATTCCCAATTAATTTCCTTCTACTAATTACCAAAATAAAGAGTTTTGTTCCCCACTAACCACCATTGTATGGAGTATTGTTCTCACTGGTCAACAATTTAAAGGTAATTTTTCCACAGGCCAGCATTAAAATGCATTTCTTTTTTTACTCATATCAACGTAAGGCAAATGCTGAATGTCCCTAACCTTGGCAGCCAGTAGGAAGAATTTGTGTGACCACCATTAGTGGTCAGTGGAAGAAAGCATGCCCCTTACATTGTTGGTTAGCAGGAGGAAGCATCATTTTCACACTGGCTGTCGTAAATATTTACAATTTTTAATGACTTGATATTCCACATTTAATAAAGGAACATTTATCTTAAATGTCTTTTTCATTTTTAAATAAACAAAGTACAACATGTTGGTACACGACATCACTTTGAATAGCAATCAGGGGAAAGGGATGGAGAAAGAAAAAAAAGGCAATGGTAATCCCAACAATATGGAAATGTTTGCCTCGTCAAGGTCCATCTGTGTAGTTTGGTTCTACCTCTAATCCACAAAAGCCTCTATCTTGGAGCACATTTTGCAAACGTTGTGCAACTAAAACCTCTGTGTTTAACCCTAAAAGTTAGACAGGGTAATTGTTTTTTTTGCAAGCTGCCCGGTAAGTGTGCTGGGAAACATTTTTGCTTTTGTATTCCATACAAAAAGGGTCTCAACCACTGCTGGCTATAATTAGTCATTCCTATGACAGCAACATGGTCTTCGCAGTGTGCATTAACTTTTTTTTAGCATCTTTATCCAGTCTAACAACAGAGTGACCTCCTTTTCACAGAACAAGGTAACAAAAGAGGAAGATATTAGAGCAAACAAATCATAGAAGCCTCTTCTCACACTGTGTTGTTCTCCCTGGTGACTTGATTTATTGGTGTTGCTGTCCAGCAGCACAATCCCTGCTGCCACTCTACAAAGATCATATGCCAATGTCACACATTTGATACTTGATATCTGTACACTGCAATGCACCACCACCCATGTAACAGCATTTGGGCTCGTAACTGCCCACTTGTAACACCAAGGACTGCATTTTTAATGTATTTTAAAATTAAATACATATATTAAAACACCCTGCAACTACAGGACCCTATACCCCACAGTTGATCCAAAGGAAGGTGAAAAAAACCCTCATAAAGCATGGTTCAATTTGTCCCAACAAGGGAAATAAATCCTTCCTAATGACCTAAGGCAATCAGATATTCCCTAGATGAAAAAATGTCTAGTGTTTTACTTTTACTTAAATAATAAAAGCCAGTTATAGTCTGTGCATTTAGCAATGCATTCAGGTTTTTATTTTTTTAAACAATCAACTAAGGTGTAAAACTAGTTGCCATGGAAGTCTATTCCACATTTGTACAGCTCTTACCACGAAGGAGATTTTTCTCCATAAACAGAGTGCCCCCTTGTCCTTTCTAATGGCATAAATATAAAAGTGAATAACTTTGCACCAAGTTCAATATATGAACCATTTATATATTTATACAAGGTGATCATATCCCCTTTTAATCACCTCTTCTCAAGAGAGAACAAATTCCGCTCACCTACTCTTTCCTCATAGCTAAGGTCCTCCATGCCTCTTATCAGTTTAGTTACCCTTCTCTGCACTCTCTACAATTCCCTGAAATCTTTTTTGTGAACTGGTGCCCAAAACTGAACTGCATATTCCAGATGAGGTCTTACTAATGCTTTGTACAAGTGCAGGATTATATATCTCCCCAGAAGGCTGCCCTGAGGTCCCCGGCAAGCACAGAACCTTTAAAAATAAGGGACCCCCAGATTTTCCCCCTTTTTCCAGGAGTGCGGAGTAACAAAGCGTTACATTTAAGTAAAGACTCCCACACCATGAAAACGTAATTTGTTTATTCCCTGAAGTGACCTGTATGCCCCAAGTTTTTCTTCACCCTCCATATTACATTCTGACGTTTGCACAGCAAACATTGGGCATTGTAGTGCTGGCTCTGCCATGACCACGTGTTGCAGTTGAGTCACATTGATCACCGCCACAGGAGCTGCTGCATAACAAAGCCACATTTAATATTGAATAAGTGTTCTGTATTATGAAATTATTAATTAATTATAGCATACATTTTTTAAAAAGGTAAATAATTTGTATACATCCAACCTGACATCTATAAATGTATTTGTTTAAAAAAAAAAGTATTTTTATATATTTTAAATACCATTATTTTATTTTATTTCTCATCTCTGAACTGAATACATTTCAAACCCATAAAAAATAGAAACAGAATTTTGCAGACATTATTTGTATGCAGTGTCTGTGGTAACAATATGTAAATATACTGGAAAAATGGGTCATAAAATATTATGACAGCTGGACTGTAGCCAGGTACAGAAATCTGTGAGCGCTATTTTGGAGAAAGAACCCTTACATGAAATGAAGTAGCAATAAATGGCTCAGGGGTTGATGTTTGACAGCCCCTCTACTCATCTCTTCACAGCTGCTATACCCTCTCTCCAGGCAACCTGGGAACAAATGTTCTAACAGAATACCAGATGTTGTTGTCATAAAGCATTACTTGTTTTTTTTTTTTAAAGTGAAACACAATTAAACCAACATGGTAAAATACTGTTATATATTATGCAGAATTATGTAGTTCTGCAACATTTCTAGTTTAACCATGAACAACCAGAAGCCAGGTGGTACACCTTAGGGCATATACACACACGGGCACTAGAAGCGGCATTATACCTAACACCCGTGATCCCAGCACTAAACATTTTACTGGACCCAAGGGGGCAACACTAATGAATGTGACCTCAGTGTCTGTATCCACAGACACTGCAAGCCACATTCTTTTTAACACAGAACAAAGCAAAGTTAAAATTTCACTAAACACTTACGTGTTGGGCTGATATTTTATTAACACCAGGGATCAAGGAGAGCCCAGATGGCCTCAGAAATACATGCAAGGTGCAACATTGTTATGCCTGTATGTATATATAAAAAGAGAGAAAGACATTTCAGTGAAAAGAGTGGTGCTGAAAAGCAGTCATGAAAATGTTGACTTGAATGAATAAAAAGGGTAACTGTAGATAAAACAGCCGCAGTTTATTAAAGTTTTACAAAATGCAAATATAATGAACATGTAGATAAGTTCCATAAACGCATAACAGTGTAGAAGACAAATGAACAGTATGAAAATGATCCATAGCAGCAAATCGTATGTAAACTTCATAAAAGCGGAAAAGAGAAGAAAGATGGGGAAAAGAAAGAAGAGAAAATTAAGGGGAAATATGGGGTACAACCGATGATGCCGGGGGTCCATTCAGTTCAGTGAAAGGAGGTTTTATAGGAACAACAAATTCTCTGGAAAGGGTGAAGAGTACCACATGCATTTTTACATGCCTCATTTGCTACAACAATTACTCTCATTATTTAATGTACATATTGCAAAATCTATTGTCTCCCTTTTCTGCCAGTATTAAAATATTGGACAATACAGGCAAAATATTCAAATTCAGAAAAAATACAGAATGGGTCCATCTCTAAGGAAAATGATGATGTATCATCAGGAGATTAGTTCTATGAACTAATATATTTTGACATGTTTGAACACACTTTTGTCTACTATTTACGATACGAAAAGGAATGTTCTGAATCTGACAGGGCTATTCACAAAAGGGTGAATTGTTTGGAGAAGGCAGGAGAAGAGAACAATCCAGGCCAAAATAGCTGATTTGGACAAAAAATCTCCAATTCAGCTCATTTTCCAGTTCAGCTTTGTTGTCCTAGATTGTTCACTTCTCCTGTCTTCTCCAAACTCTTCACCCTTTTGTGAATAGCGCTGTGAATTTCTATTTGTTTTTAATGCTTTTTTGTAATGCTGTCTTGAAGAACATGCTGTTTTTTTATGATCAAGTGTAACCATTCCTTATGATTGTTCCTTGCCAAATCC